TCTCATCTGAATACAGAGAATCAACTGGAAATAACGGCAATGATCCAGAACTGGGCTGCCCTCGCAATTTGCTGGTAACAGTACGACCAACATGATCACCATCTGTAACTTCCGTCTTTGAATATGAATTTTGAAAGGAAAAACAATTAAAAGCATTTTCAGTTTTTGTAGCATCCATATTATCTTCATTAGACGAGGAAGAGCCAAACTCGTACGGTACTAAAAGAGAAGAATAACAATATGAATTCATCTCAATTTTACTTTGGTTCGGGGATTGAGAACAAGAAGCGCCTGAAGAGAAATCGTTAGCTTTAGCTACTTGTGAATTACTTAATTCGTATTGGGAATTTTTTATATATAAGTTGGGAAGCGGTGATAATTCTTCAACAACGTGAGATAAACTGGAATTCATCCCCTCACCTATTTCTGTCTTGTTTCGAAGAAACATGCGTTCATCAGAACTGAAATTTAGATTCCTGTCTTGGTTTTGTCTTGGCAATGGAGTGGATGAAGTCATAGTTGAACGTCTGTAGCGAAATTCACTTTCTTTGGCACAAACGTCCTGTGATGCTTTAGTTTCCGACATGAGAGCGTAACTACCTTCCTTTTAATTTATTGACAATAAACACAAATCATTAGATGTCGTCCCCTCTCTTCCATATTTAAAACTTATTTCTTTGTTATTAAAAACTGAGCATTCAGCGTAATTCATAAAAAATTCTAATGACAAAAACAAGCATCTCATTGCTTTCAAATTAAGCTATGTTATGATATTTTCTACAAATATTTCAGAAAATCTCGAGACTCGTAGCTTAAAATCCGCAATGCCTATCAAAGGTATTTTATTTAATATCTCGCTTTCACGTAGCTGGACATAATTTTACTCAGTTGTTTATCAGAAAAATGCATTAATAAATAATTAATAAGATGCATTCTGATGATCTCAGAGATCACGTGACTATGCATAGCTAATGTAAACAAACAAAGCCACTCTTAATACTAATTCAGAAGTCAAACAACAAAAATCAGCGTTATATTTTCAAATTTTCACAGGACATTATACGAGGAAAACTTAGAAATGTGTTTTAATATTTCACGAACGTTCGTTTTTTTTCACTTGTCATAGTTATGTGATTTCGAACATTTTGATTTTTATCTCCAAGGTCAGTTTTTATTTGGCGGTAACTGGAGTATGTACTTAAAAATGTCTCGCTTAGAGGTTTTTGAAGCCATTATAGATAGTTCAGTAGTATATTATATTGAGAAAATGCCCATTACAATATTCTTGCGTGCGTACAGGTTCATAATGGATTGAACGCACACAGAACCGATGATGGATTGATAATTTTTTTCCCCAATAGAAAAACTTTACAATTCTCAAACTTTATGTACAGCTCTTTTCAGCACAAGAGAGCACAATCACTAATTGTCACTTCAAACTACTAATAACGTTAAAGACAACACAATACGAAGCGCATCCAAAGAGCACGATCTATTAATACTTCGAAGTCCGCTCTGAACTAAAAAAAAAACTATCTCTAGTATCTTCCATTTCTTGAAATTACTGGAAGGAATATACGGTTAAAGTTACATATAAGGGCCAGATACCGTTACAGTTACGTATAGGCATCAATTACAGTTGTAAAGGCACCGGACTAAAATGTCGCCAAGTTTGACATGTATTTTTAGAAATGTGTTTTGGAAAAATAAATTTCATCAAGCTGTCATCATTTCTGTGTGCATTCAATCCATTATGAACAGGTACCCTTGTAAAAACATGCATTTAGATGTTCTTTATATTATATTTTACATTTTTACATTATGTTTCAGGTGTTGAAATATTTTAAATAAAAATAAAAATCAAAAAAATATACCTTTTTCGTCTTCGACATAAAACTGTAATGTGCACATTACTAACATATAAAACTGTAATATGCATATAAGTTAGTTAAATAATGTACCATTTAAATGACTTACTTTAAAAGTAACCTGAGAACATTTTCTTGAAAACTGAATCTTTCAAACTTAAAATAGAGCTCAAAATAGACTATTTTGTTAAACAATATTAAATGTAATAAAATGCTTAGAAATGTTTTCTACCATACCTTTGGTTCTATATTAAATTTTTGCATAAGATTTGTTTTAAAATTCTCTTAGGAAACCAAATTGCAATATAAAAGCATAAAAAATTTCGATTTTTTATTATAATTATGTGCGTGATTGCTTTACTTTAACTTACTATTGACTGATAAATTAATCAAATTCCATTTCGATTTTTACAAATATTCGATTATTAACTAGTCTTGAGTATTACCAGGTAACCAAGAAAGTTCGTTCGGTTTTCGTCGCTCATAAAAAACAGCCCCAACAGGTTTTAAACACTCATTTTATTTTTCGAAACCATCACGGTTAGTTTCAGTTACTTGTTCCCAGCGAGGCACAAGCTTATAAATGCCCTTTTTTAAAAAATTCTTCTTTTTTTTTTTTTTTTTTTTTTTTTTTTTCTCTGGAGTCCAAAGGTTGTGGTCGACCTACAATGTTTCCTCTTCAGATACGTGATCCATTGGCACATGTCAAGATTGGATCTGAACGAGGAATGAGGCTTTATTATGGCGTGACAGCAACGACAAGCAAGTGTTCAACCGTTGGAGCTTGTATTTCTCGGACAGGACATGAGGACCTCACTTGCTTAGTTTTTATGTCATCCCAGGGTTATGAAAATGTGATCGAATGGACTCATCAGGTACTCTAAACCTGCGTGTAAGCTTCTAGTAGGTTTAACGAAGATTCTGCTTGATTTCCTTCTCCAGCTGGACATCATCGATGGTGGATGATCGAGCAGCACGAGGCTTGTCTTCAAGGCTCTTGAATCGTTCAGAAAATCGGCTGAACCAGTTTTGAGCAGTCAGTTCACTCAATGACGTCTCTCCAAACGCGAAACATAATCTTCTAGGAGCCTCTACAGCTTTGTTTCCTAATTTGTATTCTTGAAGCAAAATAGCCTGAAAATGTTCTTTTCCAACGGCATAGTTTTTTCGAAGACTGCGCTTCATATAAAACCGATAGTGAAACGTGCGATGCACTAAACAACTCTGTACTGAATAAGGTTTAAAGGAATGTAAACATATGACGCCATCAGAATCAATTTGACCACACTAACGCGCCAAAAGTAATTGTTCTCGAAAACTGCACGAACTTTCTTGGTTAGCTGATATGAATCATCAGTGAATGATTATTCATTAAGTTCTGAATTTGCAAGTACAAGTAAAAATGGAAATGAAAATTTTGTTTGATTGGCAAACTATTATTATTGTTAATCTAATGGATGTCGATAATTTTCTTAAAAATAAACTTTCGCTTTGTCTGATATTTATTGTGTTTCTACTAATTCATAATTTAATGGCAACGAAATTTTTCTAATGTTGATATCAGAGCTTTTTTTCCAAAATGGATTTAAAAGGGATTAAAAAGCGATTTTTTCGTGACATCTGTAGGTACATACGTACGTACACGTGTATGTATCTAGCATAACTCAAAAACGAATAGCCGCAGAATGTTGAAATTTTGCATATGAGACTGCTATAATACTAGTTGTGCATCTTCCTTTTTATTACAATCGGTAGAACGAAACATGTGTATATTTATTATTAGCTTTTTTATTTTTGTATTATTAGCCTTATCCAGCCTTTATTATTAGCTTTTTAAGCCTTATCCAGCCTTTATTTTCTCAGTCGTTGGTCGTAGTCTTATACTTCCAATTACAGAGCTGTTTTAAATGACGAAAATATGGCAATGTCAAATTTAAAAAAAAAAAAAAAAAAAAAAAAAAAAAAGGTCAAGAAATAAGGAAATCTAACTTTTAATGCGGTTCTCTGGTTCCTGTACTAATATCTGAGAAAGTTTAAACTTATTATGAAAAAATAAAATTGCAAGAAGTTTGTCTCTACGACAAAAATTGACCGGAACATTTAACTTCACAAATTTAAATTTTTGATGTCATTTTTCAACTTGAGAGATCGGTTAATAAATAAGTAAGTGAAGGAAATAAGTGAAGGAAATAGTGCGGCAAAAAATATGTATAATTTAATAGGCCTTACAAGTCATGTGGCGTCGACATCAGATTTTTAAACGTATTATATATATTTGAATCTTTCTCAATATAACATAGTTACTTTTAATTTACGGTTAATCTTCGGATTATGGTAATTTGGCGACTTTTTGGCGAAAATTTGGCGACCAACCCTGCTACAGCAACCTACTAGTTCTTTTTTGGACGCCATTTTGTTTTCACGAAGTAAAGGCATTTTTTTTTTTTTTTTTTTTTTTTTTTTTTTACTCAAAATTTTTTTTTCCAACAATCTGCTAGCCTAATTACGCTTATGCTAGAACTTTTACGGAACAAAAGTGCTTAATCATGACGAAGATTAGGTGCGAAATTGGGAGAAGGTGCAGAATCGCCTACTGCTTGCCGCGTTTTTAAGAATTGCACATACACGGTATCATCCATATACAAGTTGACCTATTTTCACTTAAAATAACATCGCAGAATTGCACAAAAATGGCATTGCGCACACTCTTGACTTTATCCATGTACACTGCTAAAGTCCTAGTAACCTTTATCGCCTTACCAAAATGTCGCCAAACTACCTGTTACCATATTCCAAAGATTAGCCTAATTTACTTCTAAATTTCTTAATTCTACATTTTGAATTTTTTTTATTCAGCTTCTAAATTGAATTACTTTAATTATAGATTTTGAATTATTTTAATTCTAGTTTTGAATTCTTTTAACTCTGTCGCGTAATAGATTAAATTAAAATGATTTGCTTTCCATAAAAATTGTTAATAGCGTTATCTTAAATTTCATGCTATTTGTATTAGAAATATGTAGAGGGTTAACTATAAGTATACAGAATCTGGTTGATAATATTTGATAGGCATTGATATGATAAACAACTATTTATTTAAATTTAATCAATGCAGCAAGCAAACGTAACATGTAAAGAAAGAGGGAACAAATTTATTGACCACACCAATAATATTTTCTCATGTAACTATAATAACATGTTACAAATAATGGATGGCTATGACAACTATAGCCATTATAAGGAAAAATAATCTATCAAGTGCGGAAGCAAATAACATCCATTCATCTTTAGCCGATGGCGGTTCGTTGGCAGAAGAATCCTCCTTCAGTTGAACACGGTCAAGGGATACCTGATCCTCGGACATCGGCGATCTTAGGCATGCGTATTTACCCAGAGGGCCCGTTAGGAACTGCATCACTGAGGGGGGAGGACGGGATGGTCCGGACTGATTGCAGAGCTTGGTGATGATAAACACTTGAAGGAAAAGTGTCGTAACGACAATGTACATGGCAGATTGTATGAACGACACTAGAGAAGCATATGAGAAAAGAAGTGTAAATTAACATGTATAAAATGTGAATTTGCATTAAGAAAATGGTTCTAATAGATAATACAAACATTTGTTTACGAATAATAAATGATCAGTTATCATTATATTCTTTGAAATATATTAAGTCTTTTATTTTTAAGATTCTAGAACCTCATGTTCAACCGGCAGTAAGTCATCTTAGACCAGAAGGGGGTCTTTGCATTGGTACAAGACTAGAGGTTCTCCAAATGAAAAATAATGTCATAATAGCTAAGTCTTTGACTGGCTCCTCTAAAGGTGAAATACATGTCATTTCAAGAATTGATTTGGCTCCATCTCAAACAGGGTTGCCGTTTCAATTGAGACATAGACAATTTCTTGTAAAACTTGCCTTTGCTATGAATTGAATAAAGCAAAAGCTGCGCTTGAACAAATATTTATATATATACGAAATATATATAAATATTTGTTCAAGCGCATATACGAAATATATACGAAATACATACGAAATATATACGAAATATATACGAAATACATACGAAATATATACGAAATATATGCGAAATATATGCGAAATATATGCGAAATATATGCGAAATATATGCGAAATACAGACGAAATACAGACGAAATACATACGAAATACATACGAAATACATACGAAATACATACGAAATATATACGAAATACATACGAAATATATACGAAATATATACGAAATACATACGAAGTACATACGAAATACATACGAAAATATAAATACATACGAAATATATACGAAAGCTTATATTTTTCCCGATATATATCCCGATATTTTTTAGTTTATTTAATAAAGAAGAATAAGTTATTCTTAGTTCAGAAGTTTAGAGAAAGCAGACCGTAGTCTCGGAAATTCCAGAAAATTCTCAAAATATCCTTGGGAAACACAAAACTCGAACTTGCTTCTCAGACTGCACCCTTCCCCCCCCCCCCGAAAAAAATTGCAGCCTTAGAATAAGTTTCACAAGACAGTTTTTAATCTTTATTTCGAATCGATCATCAGCTAAGCTTAAGTTTTTTAAATCTTCCATTATATCTTTCTAAATATTAATGTTTGTTATTAATAAAAAATAATAATCTATAACATTAATATTTGTTAATAGTAATTTATATAATTATTATTGTTCTTTTGATAACTAATAATAATCTAATTATTATTGTTCTTTTGATAACAGTGACAAAATGTGCTAAAATATAGTTTCGGTAGATTTTTGCAAATAAAAAATTCCTTAAATGTTTTGCATCTGCTAAAAATCATCTGCTAAAATCCGCAAGTCTCAGGGCCAAACGCTTAAGCATGGTTGGCATTTTTTACCTGAGCCTGCATTTGGACATGGTCAACTTTGTTGCCTGTTCAAGAGTTTGTGAAAGAACGGACGTAAAATTAAAAATAATGGATGGTCCTCTGCAAGGCGAACTTAAAAATGATGGAAAGATCTATACAAGAAATGTTGTGTACCAAGAGATCTTTGACATGTGAATTAACATTTCATTATTTAAATCACCTTTATTGATTGAGCTAGCGGTGGGCTCTTAAGAAATGTACCGCCAGTGGTTTCCTTCATTGTACTCTACTTTAAGCAATTAAGCAAGTAGAAGGGAAAAACCCCATGGGGCACTATGCAAAGGAGCGTCCTCGCCGCCTGCCCTGGGTAATTCAGTTTAAATTAGCAGACACCTTTGCACAAATCATTTTAATTACAATTTATAATATCTAGAACAGCGGTCATTTCGTATGACCGCCAGGCTTTCTAGTACCAATATAAAATAGTTATTAAAATGTGTTGCATGAAACATCAGAGTTATTTTGATGCCGATGGCTTCACGAAATTTAACAAACATAAGAGGATTCAATAATTCCTTTTTACTGCGTAAAATTTTTACGTGGCAAGCTAGTATATATTTTTTTATTACTTGCTTTGTGGGTAGAAGGCGTTTCTTAGTAGAGTCTATATTCTTCCAAAATTAACACTCTTCCTCAACTAGTCCGAGATTTTCCGTCAAGAATGCTTTAGTAGCGATTTGCAAATGCATCTTTATAAATTCACTCATCGTCAGCTCTTCTACGGGTGTCATTATCACGGTTAACTTCCGAATCTATTTTTCTAGTAAAATTGAACCTCTTTTTCTGTTACAAAAGTGACTTGGCTTTACTTTTGCCTCACTTTTGAAAACTACTCACCAAAATTTCTTCCAAACATCATTCACGGGCTTTGGAGAAATTTCATTCCAAGATTCTCCAACGATTCTTAGGACATCTTGAATACTGATTCATGTCAAAAAGTCTTTAGTTTGTACAATTAATTATTTTTGTCTTAAACGGTTTTTCAGGTATATAAACCATCATCTCGTGTAATAAGCCTTGAATATTTGATGACTCCTTGGTCCATCATTGAAGCAAGCTTATTAATACGAAAGGTTTCAGATTTTAACGGCGGCCTAAAAGGGTTTGTTAAGGTTTTTTACACTCTCGCTGAGATCGTAGCGCCCGTTGTTACACTCACGACTACCAAAACATTGTTTTATGTCTTTCGGTTATTATTAAGAATCATTTTCTTTGCGCTTGCGCCATTAACAATTCAACAGCAAAATTACAAACACTTTAAAAGCAGCATACGTTTCGAATTCCCAGTGCAGCTTTAAGTGTTGTCATACACTTTTCTGTTTTTTTTTTTTTTTTTTTTTTTTTTTTTTTTTTTTTTTTTCCCTCAGTTCATTATATCAATGTTCAGTTTTCTTACAAAACTTTTTTTTGTCTTTTTATTATTAGCTTTTTGAGTTTTTACTTTATTTATTAAATATATCGTTTCTGGTGCTTTACACTACATACAATTCGATTCAACGGCAAAATCACAAAATATTTATAAACTGCATATCTTTAGCATTTTCGACAGAAAGTCTCGCGCGTTGGAAGTGAAAGTGTTTTATTCCGTACAGTGATGCCACTGCTCGCTTTGAAATCGTTCATTTTGTTAATAAAAAATTCGTCAAAGTTTTACAAAATATGAAAAAACAAATTCAAAATTCGGGCTTCCAGTTGCCTATGCTCGGATGAAGAACTATGTTATTAAAAATTTGATAGGTACTGCTGTTTTTCCACAGTGAGAGAAACATACATAGATTTACGCAGATTTTTCATTAATTAATTTCTTTAAATATAATAGAGGGCGATAAAATTTGGTGGCAACAATTTGAAAAGTGATAGAATGCATTAAAGTGTTTCGATGCAAAATACCATTTCGAGACTATTATCCCATTCGAGACTTATATTTATAAAGTTCGCATCAACAATATCGACTACATTGAAAAAAAAGTAGAAAAGGGGGGGGGATTATATAAGAGACTTTGCCTAGGACTTTCAGTTTTACAAATTCGACCCTCCTTAGGCCTAGAAAAGTAATTTTGTCTTTCGTAATTGATTCTTAATTTCTTCCCATAGAGACATATATTAAAATTAATATATGAAAGCTTCATATCCAGATATTTTAAAAAAAGGAAAAAGAATAATTTATTCTTAGTTCAGAAGTTTAGAGAAAGCAGACCTAGTCTCTGAAATTCCAGAAAATTCTCAAAATATCCTTGAGAAACACAAAACTGGAACTTGCTTCTCAGACTGGAAAAAAAAAAAAAAAAAAAAAAAAAAAAAAAAAAAAAAAAAAAAAAGACAGGTTTTTAATCTTTCTTTCGAATCAATCATCAGCTAAGAGTTTTTTAAACCTACCATTATATATCTTTCTAAATATTAATGTTTGTTATTAATAAAAAAATAATAATCTATAATATTAATATTTGTTTATAGTAATTTATATAATTATTATTGTTCTTTTGATAACTAATAATAATCTAATTATTATTGTTCTTTTGATAACAGTGACAAAATATGCTAAAATATAGTTTCGGTGGATTTTTGCAAATAAAAAATTCCTTAAATGTTTTGTGTTTCTAAAATCTGCTAAAAAATCCTTCTTTGCGAGGAATTAATAAGTTACTTAGTTTCCACACCACACAACTTTTATGCAAGAGTTTATGCAACCTCGTTACCTCACAACATTTTACCCACCATCCCGATTAGAATACGATTATTGTTAGCGTGTTCATTTACGGCTGAGCGTTTTTCAAAGCAGTGGATTGAGAATAATAATAATCTTATCTTTAATTTTTTTACCCTTTAACTCATTTATGAAACTTTTCTTTATGTATGAAATTTATTTTTCATATCCAATTTTCTCTCTTTGTATATATCTTATTCATGTTTATAACTCAAAAATTCTCGTCAGGATGTTTCAGGTATACTTTCTTATATATCTACGTATACAAATAAAGAACTGTCTGTTTATTCGCTAATAACTCGGTCATTACTATAGCTAGCGTCACCAAACGAAAGTTCTTTTTCTGGTTCCTAGAAAAGGTCAACATCCACTTTCTTCCCAAGGAAAACAAGGAAAAAAATACCTAAAATCAGAGATATTAATTAAAAACGCTAAATTTCGCCCTCACTTCTGCGAGTGGCAACAGTGCTGATATCAGCAACAATGGCAACAGTGCTATATCAGCAGCAATGGTTGCGTGCCATTGTTGTTGATATAATGAGAGAGAATCAGTTTATTTTCTATCGAAATTTTTATGTGGTTCCATATCGCATCAGGCTGAAAAATGTATGACTATGAATCGTATTTTTTGCTGACCCAAATGGCAATTCCATATGTCGTATGAATATATATACCATATGAATCTATGATTACGTAGTCAGTTGTGGTACATGTAATGAATATTATTTTGTTTCTTTGGCATTTTTTATGCATTACAATGATGCATCATATTTCTTATGACGTGTAATATGCTATTATACGAATTTTCAAATGATGTAATTTTAAATTCAAAATGATGTCAATATAAATTCAAGATGATGTCAATATAAATTCAAAATGATGTCAATATAAATTCAAAATATAAAATCAAAATGATGTCAATTGCATTCAAATGATGTCAAATAATGCATTACTCTCAATCTAATTTAACTGCTATCGGATACTTCCGCTAGTATGAAATAAATGTTGCCAGCGTATACAACAATGATTGCGAGCAAAAATGTTTTAGTCGTCGTTAGTACACATAGTGCGTCTACAAAGTTTTAGTCGCACAAAATCATAAACTGAAGAAAACAATATTTTCACTTCTTAAGTACACAATCTTTATAAGTCTACAACACGCACGGTAAGTTCGCAGAGCTGCCCCTTTCGTACCACTGACTTAAGGGAACATTTTCTCCGGTTACGGGTTTCTGAATCTTTAATACTAAACTAACGATCACTGGAGCGAGACTTCACTTTAGGAATGAGAAAGAATTATTCATGTGCCTAATCTTGTGAATAAGTAGTAATTGATAACTAACATATTTCCTTGCTAAAAATTGCTTGACGAAAATGGTACTGTATGCCGACAAACCGTCGATTGAGAGCTTTCAGGCCAAACGCGTTGAATTTTCATTGGAAGTTTGCTTAATATGTTTTTATAAAATATGGAGTTCACGGTCTGCCTCCCTCCTGCCAGGAACAAATTCCTAATGAATGGCAATGAACCTTTCTAATAAAAAACAGTCACTAATATGATGTTTACTCGAAATTTCTGAAAACCTGTGGCCATGGTGAACTTTCTTCAGTCCAAGACGTTTTGTCTCAGGATCATAAGCCAAGCACTAGGACTCATTTATAGTCAACGTTTGTTTAAAAAATTCAGGAAACTACTATTTGGATCAAACCATGCTATGTAGAAACTCGATCTTAATTCTGTTCTCTTTTGAAGAAAACACTAAGAACTAATTAGGAATTTTGAATATCTTCCAGGTACTTTGGAAGCAAGGTTCCTTTCTTTTTTTAAATTTTATTTTTACTTTTAAAAATTTAGTTATTTGTTTCCCTTTTCTTTCCCTGTACAGTTCCATTGTCTAAAAACTTCTAAAACTTGCATTTTTTAATACCCTAAAATGAACATGGTGTTGACACAAAATTTTAAGTTCATTTTTAGTTAATCTTCAGATTATGGTAACTTGGCGATTTTTTGGCGAAAATTTGGCGACCAACCCTGCTACAGCAACCTGCTAGTTTTTTTTTTTTTTTTTTTTTTGAGCCATTTTGTTTTCACGAAGTAAAGGCACTTTTTTTTTTTTTTTTTTTTTTTTTTTTTTACTCAACATTTTTTTCCGATAATCTGCTAGCCGAATTACGCTTATGCTAGAACTTTTATGGAACAAAAGTGCTTAATCATGAAGAAGATTAGGTGCAAAATTGGGAGAAAGTGCAGCATCTCTTACTGCTTGCCGCGTTTTTAAGAATTGAACATGCACGGTATCATCCATATACAAGTCGACCTATTTGCACTTAAAAAAACATCGCAGAATTGCACAAAAATGGCATTGCGCACACTTTTTACTTTATCCATGTACACTGCTAAAGTCCTAGCTAGTAACCTTTATCGCCTTACCAAAATGTCGCCAAACTACCTGTTACCATATTCCAAAGATTAGACTCATTTTTTTTACAGTCAAATAGTATGCAAAGTAAATAAAAAAATGTGCTATTTACTCACCGGCGTATCCCACTACAAGAGGAGACTTAGTGCTCCCAGCAACGTAAACAAGAAGAATATTTAGAGCGAAGAATAGAATTCCACAGAGAAGAAATTTTAGCGATGAATTTGGAGGAAGCCAGAAGATCGAAAGTGCTAGTATCATTATGAGAATGCAAGGTGTTCTGGTAGCTTCGATCTCTGGCACAGGACGACGTTTCATGGGAAAACGTATGTGGATGCTAATGTACGGCTCAGCGCAGCATTCATATCGGGTGACTTCGCGAAAGATGCTTGCTTTTGAAACTATCAGTTCCCATCTAAAACGAAAAAAAAAAGTTTTAGAAATTAAGAATTATTTCCATTACAGTTTAAAATTATATTTATTTATACAGTTAATGATAAGGATGATATCCCGTGAGTTCTACCTTCGATTAACTTACTTTTTTTGGCATTACCATTTATATGGAATTTATTACAATAATAATAATACAGTCGAAAGTCGTTAATCCGGACTCGTCGGGACTTCGGCGATTCCGGATTATCGATTTTTCCGGATTATAGATCATCAGTTTAAATCTCGTAAGATGGCATGCAGAAATTATAAAATTAAAAATATGAAACCGTAATTTATGAAATAAAGAACAATTATGATCTAAAGGGTATCAAAATTTACAACAAAAAAAGCTTAATATTTGTTTACTTTATTAAACATTTCTTTCAATGTAAGTTGTTTAGTTTTACGTGATAATACTTTCTCTTTAATTCTATATAAACAGACATAATTTCTTGTTCAGTTACAAAGTTCTGCTGTTCAAGTCCTATAATTGCTGTGCCGAGAATAGAATACCGACTAACTTGTCAATCGAAATTTTTTCGTTTTCACTAACCTCTCTGTCACTTTCTTCATGACTTTATCCATTTTTGCAGCAATTCCACTTTTTGTTTGATGGACATCGAAACATACTTTCGCTTTATAGATCCTTTGGGAGCTCCAGCATTGGAAATTCTATTTGACATAATCGAACGTTCAAGCTTACTTTTATAAAATTGCTCTAACAGTCTGCAAAAAATAATAAGCCGGATCCAATTCGAAGATTAAGGAGCAACGCAATCTGCAACATTAACTGAAATAGATAATTAGATAATTTTAGCTTATACCGTCCGTTATACATTAAACGCACATGCGTAAACTTATTATGCGCTTGCGCACACGCATATGCTCAGCCGTATAGTACTCGCATGTGTAAACGCTTACACGCATGCGTGAACGCGACGCATGCGCAGAAAGTTTGTAGCTTTCAGGTCCGTATTATAGATCATTGCAGATTATTGGTGTCCGAATTAACGACTTTTGACTGTATTATTAAGAAGATGCCATACCAATTATGATATTAGTGCTTTCAGGGTATTGTTAAGCTTTTCACATTAAAGAGCAGTGATTTAGCTTCACATTTTAAAAGATCATTTTAACGAGTTTTAATAAAATTGGAAAGTTAAAACACCTGCATTGGCTAGTAATTTGGAGGTCCAATTCAAATGGAGATTTAGATGAAATTTTTAGGTAAACGAATTTGGCACACATTGGTAAAATAAACTGAATTAATTCATATCGATAGCTATATCCCATCTTTGCAATGGTATAAAGTAGACTGCCGTGAGCAGCCTGTTACGTGAGTTATTAATTAGTAACATTAGATTGATGGAAATTAATTGCTTGTTATAACTCTTTTTCGTGGTTGGTAGTTGACAATGGAAATAGGAAAAAAAAAAAAAGAGTTTTAATTATTAATGCGTTATGAAATCTAAACATGTTTCTAAATTAGTCTAGGTATGGAACTGCTTATAGAAAACGTAACAAATTAGATGTTTTAATTTGACATAATTGACTTCTCTGAAATTTTAATATGTTTGAAGCTGAGAGAATTATCGAAAATAATGTGAAACAGATGATTACATCCAGGAAATCACATTTTTGTAACACTGTTTAAAAACTGTACTTAGTTTCCTTGGGAATTTGACACGCAGATCACTATTCGATAGAGATGTTTTACCTTTCCCCTTACTTTACCACAGCCTCTGATTATTTATATGATATGATCAATATTGTCGCATTCTTTGTAATAAATGAAATGTTTTTTGCGAGTGCAATGCAAGTTAATAAGTTTCAAAATAATTTAAAATTTGATTAAAGTTGAATTTGGCCATAAGATTAAAAGGGTAAATAGCGTATGAGGTAAAAGAAGAATAGGAAAAGAAGAATAGGAAGAATGATATTGTTTGTTTATATTAGTTATACGCAAGTCACGTGATCTCTGAGGTCATCTACTCTGTTTATTTACATTAGCTGTACATAAATTATGTGATCTTTGAAGTCATTGGAATGTGTTTCTTTGATTTGTATAAAATAGTCTTTGTTTTGTACTTGAATTCCTGATTTTTAACCATACATGTGTTTTGTCTGTCAGATTTTTTAAATGCTCGCCTCCTAATAACTTCTATAACTTATTGAGAAACGGCATTGCTGAGAATTTTATTTTATTTTATTTATTTATTTTTTTTTGCTAGTTTTGAAAGTGATATGGGTGGGAGTTTCGAATGTTTACGTTTAATTTAAGCACATCAAATTTGTTATGCGCTATTGATAAACCCAGAAATCTAAAATTGAAAACATAATAGTGTCGATAACTGATGTAAAGAACAACAAAACCATATCATTTTGTTAAAGATTTACTGAAGAGTTTCCAAATAGGGAAAATAAATAATAATAATAAAAAAGAACTCCTGCTTAATCCTGTTAAATAAGAACTCCCTAAGAATTTAGCCTGTTTTTACTTGGTCCCGAAATGACTCCGCGATAGAGAAGACCCATGCGGTTAATGCGCAGCCAACGTGAGCTCATAAAGCCGAAGAGCTATTGAATAAAAATTCTGATGTGTACACCACATGACTTCCTTGTACGGAATATTAAATTATACCCATTTTTTCTTGCATTTCATTTAAACTTATTGGATTGAATTAAATCTACTTCGTTGATAGCGCATAAACCACCATAGAATAAATGCACTCTTTAAAATTCACTATATTTGTTTACCATAGTGACACTCTGGCGCTAGGTTCACTTAACAGCGTTATATTTCTTTCATATTATAACTCAGAATGCACAAAATTGATATCATTTGAAGTATTATCTAATCGTTGCCACATGTTCTATTCAAATACTATAATAAATCTAGAACGATGTATAAAAGAAATTAAGCAAACAAAAAAGAAACAGTTTTTCACAGACGATTCAGTTTTTCTGATTCAATTAATTCAGTTCTCACTTCGCGACAAGGCAAAAATACATAAAAACAACAAAATATGTATATTAAAAATTACGAAGTAAATCTTAAACTTATTTCCTCGGAAAAAATTCCAGAAAGATTAAGCATGATTTAATTCGCAACATTCGCAAAATGAAGGCGTTATCTTTGTTGTTGCGAAGATTAGTCTCTCTAGATTGGCAACATATCTACTATTCTGCTGTTTCAAATGTAAACAAACATGTACGCCATGTTATTGAAAAATTAGTCTTCACCGCACTTAAACAGCTTTTAATTTCTTGGTAATTCAAAAATATTGCTTGCAGATTTCTTAAAGGCATAAAAACCTTAACCGGAAGATATGAACAACATAATTCAATCATTTTTAAAGCAAAAAATGCACAATTTACAAACATATAAGAGTGAAGAAACTGAGATCACTGAGCAGGGCAACAGAGCGGATATATATATAAATATATTTATATACGTTTGGCGCGGCCGATTGCAACCAAAATACGAGGTGCACATCTACATGTTATAGCAGTCCTATATACAAAATTTCAACGTTCTGAGGCTACTTGTTTTTGAGTTATGCGAGATACATACGTACGTACACGTACAGACAACAGGAAAAAATCTCTTCAGAATTAATTTTAAAGCAGTTTTATAATTTTTTGGAAGAAAAGAGTCTTTTATTCTGTCCTTACGTACAGATGTCACAGAACAACATCGTTAAATTGCATTCGATAGCGGTCAAAATGGATATTTTCGTTGAAATATGCTGCCTGAAACTTTTCGCGATTACAGTACTTCCTTTTTACTTCGTACAAGGAAGTAAAAAAGAAACACTCTAAGAAAAGGAAATAGACAGTATTGTATTACCTCGGATTTATGTTCTCAAACTCTGACATGAGGAGGTCTTCGCCATGTTGTATATCCACTTCCCAACCATCGTGTGCCCATGAGCCGAGAGTCACTGTACATTCCACCTCATCTTTAGGGTAGGCAGTTTTGGAAACAGATGGGCATGAGGTCTGGGTGAACATAGGCGGCGTCCACCATACTTGACCCGATGAATGCACAAGCAACAGAACTTCCTGAGTTGGATCCACTTGAACACTATGACTGTGGTAAAAAAAAAGAAATTAAATTAATAAATTACGTAATCAAGCATTTTTGTAATACTGTTCTTAAAATGAGACTGACAGCAAACGACAGATGATGATAATAAAAATCTGACATTTTTAGTCCAAAGGGGCTTTGTTCCTGAAGGACTATTGTTTTCGTTTTGCGATTTTGCGTTCACTCACTATGTCCGTTTCACATTTCAAACTGTTGCCACCAAATGTTAGAATCCTGCAATATATTTGAAGAAATTAAATAATGAAAAATCTGCATAAATGTATGTATATTTCTCGTATTGTGGTAAACAAACGACACAGAGAGTCATCGAACTTTGAATGACGTAATACTACTGCGAATATGGGCATGTGGAAGCCCAAATTTGAAATATGGAATTTGTTTTATTATCGATTTCCTATTTTGTAAAACTTTAACAAATTTTTGATTAACAAATTCAAGGATTTTAAAGCGAGCAATGGCAATAACGCTATACAGGAAAAACATTTTTACCTCCAGCGCACGAGACTCTGTATGAGAAATTCTAAAGATATGCTCAATTTAAAACTATTTTGCGATATTGCTGTTGAACTGAATTTTATGGTTTATGTGCGAAGAACGTGATATTTAATAAATAAACGTAACAGACAAAATGTTAAAAAAAAAAAAAACGCCTCTTTGGACGTAATTTAAAATCTGAAACCTTTCAGATTTGAATAAAAAGGAAGTACTGTAATCGCGAATTTCAGAAGATTTCAGATTTTTCAGATTGAATTTCCTTAAATCTCTCCTGAAACTTGCTCACCGTTCTGTAGTTATTACACACAAATAGACGAAATTTCATGAATTAATTCCAGAAGTAGCAGCACATTACATTATAACAAATCTTTCTCCTTCCTTGCCGCATGCCTTAGTGGTGTAATTGGAAGCATGTCCGGTTAGCAGTCGGGAGGACCGGAGTTCAAATTCCTGCCAGGATATTGCTAAATTTTCATGTTTGTTCAACGATGAATATCTAATTGTTCTACAATAGGTATCACAACTAAATCTAAAGTGACCAATATTTCAGTATCATTAATGGCTATCTATGACTGCATGGAATTGTAATAATTTAAACTATTCCGTAAAATCATGGCAAAATTAAAACTTGAATATAATTTTATTACTTCCAACGAATTTTGCCGCCCAACTGGGATTGTGGTTAGTGACTCTGATTGGCGTACCGAAGGGCCCAGGCCCGAATCCCGGATGGATGTTTGCAAATGTAGAGTGCCTGCACGGCACAGGGGCGCTCAAAATATACGGCGAGCCCAAAGTCCTCTTAAGAGACCGGTGTAGGGGAAGAGGGGTGGGAGATCCTCGTCGGCTCAGGCAAACTCGATGTGGTTTCCCAAAACGGGTACCCGCGTGAAGACGCTATCCCGGCGTAATGCTTCTGACTTCCGAATCTTTGTAGTTTCGAACAGTTTATAATTCGTGTCGAAAAAATGAAAGTTCAGTACAGTAATAATGTGAGTTAGTACGTTAAGTGAGTCCAATAGAAACACACCTGCGGTGCAGGCCATGACGAAGGTAAGTGCGCATGATAAGCAAATGGCGTGGAGAGAAGAATAACAAACAAACAAACAACAAAAAAAAAAAAAAAAAAAAAAGCCTAAAGCTCACTGAATATGAGAGTCCTTGTGTGTGAAGTTTACATATTAGTAGTAAGTAACATAAAGTAACATTGGATATAAAGGCATAGTGAAAAATAAAATATATATACAATATATACCGGGTGATCAAAAAGTCAGTATAAATTTGAAAACTTAATAAATCACGAAATATTGTAGATAAAGAGGTAAAAATTGGCACACATACTTAGAATGACATGGGGTTTTATTAGAAAAGCATAATCTGATCAGAAAAGCAATAATTAGCATAACAAATTAAGACAAAGCAAAGATGATGTTCTTTGCAGGAAATGCTCAATATGTTCACCATCATTCTCCAACAATAGCTGTAGTCGAGGCATAATGTTGTGAACAGCACGGTAAAGCATGTCCGGTGTTATGGTGAGGCATTGGCGTCGGATGTTGTCTTTTAGCATCCTCAGAGATGTCGGTCGATCTCGATACATTTGCGACTTCAGGTAACCCCAAAGCCAATAATCGCACGGGCTGAGGTCTGGGGACCTGGGAGGCCAAGCATGACGAAAGTGGCGGCTGAGCACACGATCATCACCAAACGACGCGCGCAAGAGATCTCTCACGCGTCTAACAATATGGGGTGGAGCGCCATCCTTCATAAAAATCGTACGTTCCAGCAGGTATTTATCAGCCAGGCTGGGGACGATGCGATTCTGTAGCATATCGGCGTACCTCTCACCCGTCACGGTAGCAGTTACAAAACCAGAATCACGCATTTCCTCGAAGAAAAAAGGCCCGCTAAAACTTTTTGAACTTTCTTTTTTTTGGTTCTAATAAAACCCCATGTCATTCTAAGTATGTGTGTCAATTTTTACCTCTCTATCTACGTTATTCCGTTATTTATTAAGTTTTCAAATGTATACTGACTTTTTGATCACCCGGTACATGTCAAACATTTACAACGTAAACAGCAACACCAGAAAATAATCAGTATGAGATAGTGTGTAGATATATTTAAGGTGGGACAGTTAGGTGAATGAGTAATTTAGAAGACAGTTACTGATCGAGGTACCTGAGGACCGCAAGCGGTCGTTTTCTATTTCTTTCAGTGTTATAATCGTAATTAAGCACTGGAATAGTGCTGTTGTTAACATTTGGAATATTTTTATAGAATTTTTCAGCAAGGTTAACAAAATGAACATATAGCATTGGAATCTCAAGCTCTTGGCGAACTACTGAGTTTCTGATGAACCATCGACAGTTCGCCGCTTGTCTGAGTAATATAGTTTGTACTATTTGAAGTTTCTTGATATTAGTAATACTAGCATATCCCCAAACAGGACAGGCATATGAGAGTATGGGACGCAAAAGGGTCTTGTAAATGAGCAATTTGTTGTCAATAGAGAGAACAGAGTTCCGGCCAATTAAGGGGGTAAGTGTTCGTTTACGCGCATGGAACTTTGCAATAATCTGTGTAATGTGTGAGGTCTAGGTGAGTCGCCTATCCGAAGTAATTCCAAGGTATCGGGCATGCTTAGTCCACTGAATAGGGATGTCATACATGTGGATGCAGTCTTCATTATCAATGGTAGTCTTTTCGGTGAACCAAACGGCCTCAGATTCGATCCTCGGAAACTTCCTCTTTCACAACTAGGCGCGGAACTGAGCAAAGTAGTACTGCCACTTGTATGGTGCCTAAAGCTCTTCCCAAAGAGAGGTGCAAACTTGCCTCCTTGCTATGATAAATTTCGTGGGCTTGTTCTGATACCAGACAAGCGAAATTAGTCGCAACAGCGGCAACGACTTTTACCCATGACTCGCTAATTTGACAGTCTCAACGATGCATTGCCATAAAATTTAAAATAAATACTTGTACAACATAACTGAGACTCCGCTTAAAAGGGAACTTATAGCTGCTTTCTGAAATAGTAAACAGAAAGTTTGTGTTGCCACAAATATTTTTATAATTTAATCCGCTTTGTGACAAAATCTTTCGTCATGTTTCAACCTTGCGCGCCCAATTTAAAACATTCTTTTGCATAATTTAACTCCATATTTAATATATAGCTTTTATAACATTTAGAAACTACTGTGAACCAAAAATTCTAAGAACTTCATGTTAAATTTTTATTTTATTTCGAGTTGAGTTTATAAAATGTATTTTATTAAAAAAATCTGTAATGTTTTCGTGCATAAAATTTTTAATATTAAAATATTAATCATATTTTTGGTTCAGTCAGAAAATAATACGAAAAAGAAAAATATATAAAGAATATAAAAAATAAAAGAAAAGAATTCCATAAATAGAATAAAAGAATCCCATATAAAGAATTTTATCGAATTTCAAGTACGTACCATTAGCCATCTTTAAAATATTATGCGCGCAAGGTGGAAACATGATGAAAAATTTTGTCACAAAGCCGATTAAATTACAAAAATATTTGTGGCAACACAAACTTTCTGGTTACTTTTTCCCAAAGCACCTATGTTATGTAGTCAGCTGTAAAATGTCGGAAGCAATTGCTTTTAAAATAAATAAAATATCCCAGTTCTTGCAACAGTCACATTTTCGAAGATCATAAGGGGTTTAAGGTGTATGAGCCCCCTTACAGAAATGGCGGAAAAGTATAAACATTGAATCAAAGGGTCCTAAACCAATCACTTCCAATATTTTTTGAATAAAATTTTCACATTATTTAGAGGTTGCTATATATTTTATAACTTAAACAATTGATCTCAATGACATCATATGCAAAAATAATGGAATGGGAAATCTCTGACCAAAAGTTGATTTTGAAGTATCTATATTCATTGATAAATTATGTCAAATTAAAATTCGCGTGGTATTGGGAGAATACCTACAAAAATGTATAAATTAATAAAAAGAAAACATTAAAGATTTCGGTGCATTAAAAAAAAAATTTGAAGCATGTTCGAAAGGCATATTTATTATTTTGTTTGAAAAATCGTTGATGCTGGCAGTATTCCAGAAGAGGACTTTTGGATGTGAAAACTACTGTTATTTATGGGCTGTTTTTAAAGTCTTTCTTTATCAGACAATTTTTCCGTTTCTTTCTGATATGAATAGCTATGAGTAGTAATATAGAGCTTAAATTCGTGAAAGCGCACCTAAAGTAGTCAATTCCATCGTAAATGTAGTACATTTTTAGAAATTTAATAATGACATCGTTAATTAAAATAAAAGTTTTTGGGCATGCGTTTAGAGATACATATAATTTTTAATGTAATATATAACTTAAGTAAAAAGTTTAAAAGAGAAATTTTTAAACTTAAAAGAATTTGTGCAAAACGTATTAAAATAGCATAATTGTTGGAAATGATGAGTGCGAAAATGAGCCATTGCCTTTTTATGTCAAAAAAGGAGATTGGCCGCAGGTTATATTATCTGAGATAACGCAAATAAACGGGAAATGTATTGAATATGTATCTATATATTCTATTGCTTTTTAAGTTACTGCAACTGTAGTGGAAGTTTCATCAAAAGCAATGTTAATAGCTTTTAAATAAAATCAAAAAGCTATTTATTTTTTCTAAACATTTTCCCGAATTTCAAAGAAAACTTTAGCATAATTGTGTGGCGTATTCAAAAATGGTTTCAACTGTAGGAACTAATTCTGTGTAGAACAAGCGTATATCTATTACTTCAAGGAATTTGACTATATATGCAGAAAAACCGTCTTTTCTTACTCACTTGATAATTTGTGATGAAAAATATTTGGTATAAAGTAATTTTAATTCCTTATTAATAAAGGTAATCGTAATTTTAGATAAAAATGTAATATCTTGCCTATATCCAGTGGGTGAAAATGTTTATTAAATCTCTATACAAATTCCTTTTATACCAATCATATCACAGATCCTTCTCCAATTTATCTTTAATGCCTGAAGGATCTGAAAAAAAGTTTCTTTGTTGTAAATTGTTTCTTTATAAACTTTGTGTTTTCTTTGTTTTCTTAAATAGAAACGCAAAAAAGGAGTCTGCGAACCTATATTACATATATGATAACACTTGTTACAGAAGCAATTGGCATGATGGTTATTATGACAGAAAGTAGGTTAAAAACTATTGTGCTATAATAAGAAATGGTCAGTTCCAAGAAATATCAACTTCTTGAATATTCAATCTTCGTTTCCGCAGACAAGAGCCAAAAATGACTTTTGCATTATAATGCAGTATAATGTACTTACAAAGATCAAAAGATGTCATCACATAGCAACACAATCTACTTCACGATGAAAGAATTATAAAGTATGATTTTGCAGTTATGAAGTATGGTTTAGCAATGCTGTCAATCGTGAGCGCCTGTCTGGGCGAAGTGGATTTCTTGCTAGAAGAATGTAAATTAGAACAGTAAGTGGATGCAACGTATTTCTGTGCTGCTATGGAAGTAGAAGTAATATTTTTGCTAGCATCCTTATTCACTTCTGCAGACAAGAACTGTGCATTATTTTTGCATTATACTGCATTATAATGTTGCAGCTTCAAGTTGCAGTTCGATAGAAACGTGTCCAGGCCTCATGTGGCAAGGCAGGCCCATTAGACTCTCATGGAATAAAGGTGACCATTTCTTCGGAAGCTTCTGTAGAGACCCGACGTAGCTACGAGTGATATTCACATGTGTGGTACATCAGAATTCATCTTCTCCGAAAACATTCGCAAACATTCAACTAAAGTTCCGTATGTATCTACTCTAGCAACCCACAGCTACGGTCAAAAGTGTTGCCTCTCTCCTACGTCGATGAGATAAGAATAATAAAAAAAAAAAAAAAGTTATATGCTACATAAGTACTTCATACAGTTTCATTTTTGTAGCTGTTTGTAATATATTTATTGACTATCCTCACGCGGCATTCAATCGACTTCGTTAAGCCAAAACTAACCACATTAGAAGGCAAAAAATAGTCGAATCAAAAATTTTCAGGCCCACCAGCGGCCGAGCGGTAAAGTCGCTGAACACTGGTAGTTCGGTCCGAGGTTCGAATCCCGCGAACGGGCTGGCTGCATGGGCGTTTTCGTGGTTTTCCCCATGTGTAACGTGTATACGAGCCAGTTTCCCTTAGAAAGTCCTCCACGAAGGCATCACTCCCCTTAGGCAGATAGCCCTCGAGGGCTTTGCCATAATCACACACACCCACACACACAGAAATTTTCATCAAATTACTCTTAACAAGTCACAAATTCTACGTAGGCATACATATTAATATACGTATGCCTACGTATATTAATATGTATGCCTACGTAGAAATGTAAGAAGCAATGGCAAATGTATTAATGATAAATATTATTTTCATCTACCAGAAAAATCGAAAAATAATTAAATTAAAGAACTACAGTAATTTAAGATTTAGTGATGATATTATACTCTTAATACGTAAAAATGGCAAATAAGCAGAAATGTTAAATAAAGGCTTTAAATAATATATTAGAGGCGTTTGATTTCTTAAGAATGAAACTACGTTAAGGTAAAAAAAAAAAAAAAAAAAAAAAAAAAAAAAAAAAGACAAAAAACATCAGCTTTAAAGAATATATTTGTAAAATAAATTGAAGTTTTTTTTTAAACAGCAGAAGTTTGGAGTTAACATCTTACATCAGCTTATGGAGAAAGTTAGTTAAAAAAAATCGACTTATATTGAATTTTTCAAGTTGAAAAGTCTGACTTTTTGATAAGAGCTAACATTAATTTTTTATACAGGTTGTGTGAAGAAAATATTCATTCTGTTTGAGATTAAAGAAACTGGAATTTGTATTACAAATGTTACTTTTACCTATTAAAATATACTTTCTCTTATACAGTAAAAAAAATACGGTATTTATTTTTATAATGATTATTTTAGCTGATAGCTATGTTTGACACACACGTACGATATATTTACCTATTGAAAATTGTGATATCTGGGACCCACACTAAGCTCCTTGGGAGCTGCAAGTAACCATCGTAATCACTAGTATTCCATCGCAACCTCGGGTCAATCCATCCCTGAAAAAATGTACAAAAGCAGCAATCAAAATCCTTCAATATGAAAATTAAGAAGCTCTTACAAAATATAATACTCAGTAACTAATTCTGTAAGTAATTTATGCCATCATTCTGATGAAAGCGAAACTCTCATTGATATTAGATACATTTTAGACAGATTTCTAGATATGTCAAGTAGAATATAAAGTGCTTGTAAAACTCGTATTTCATTAATTTTGTGTAATATTTTATATTACATCCATTCTAGCCTAATAATTCATAATTATAAATGAGCAAAAATTACACAGATAATTAAATTACTCAAATATTTAATATATATAGTATTTTAATAAATATTCTTTTCTTAATACATACAATAAAATCTGAGACACGACATGACTTCCTTGTACGGCCTATGAAAATTTTTTACTGCATTTCATATAAAATTATTTCCTCGAATTTCATTAGAGATATACAGGGTGTTTATAAAGTCCCGGACCCGTTTTTATGTTTAATAACTCATAAAATAATAAAGATAGATTAAAATTAATAACATAAATGGTTAGATAGACTCAAAAAGTTTCATGACCCTTGTCAATGAACTTCCACGTGTGCCCCCTTTGTCGCACGGAGAATATCAAGTCGATATTCAATTTCACGCCAGGTACCGGCAAGCATGTCGGTATCCACAGAGGCTATTGCGGTTGTAATTCTGGCTTTTAGGTCATCCATGTTCGACACTCTCATTCTGTAAACGTTGTCCTAATACAAATCCCCAAAGGAAAAAGTCCAGCGGTGTTATATCTGGTGATCTGCATGGCCAAGGAACTTAAACCTCCTCGCCCAATCGATCTTCCTGTAAAATGGTCATTCAAAGAACTACGAATGATGGTAGCCCCAATGAAGGTGGTGCACCATCTTGTTCAAAAAGATATGTGGCTGAAGCTCTTCTAGTTGTGGAAATACGAAGTTTTCCAACATGTCTAAGTATACGACTGACGAGACCGTCTTTTCTGTAAAAAAAAGAAAGGTCCAATGACTCGGTCGTGCATTAGTCCACACCACACATTAACCTTTGGGGAATCCCTTTGTGCCTCACGGTATTCATGGGGGTTTTCAGATCCCCATATGCGCACATTATGGCAATTAACAATGCCAGAAAGATGAAAGTACGTTTAATGATATTACAGACGAAATTTAGAAAAGTACAGATATTTAGACTGGAAAATGAAATTATCTGAAATTAGCCACACGCGCAGACGATATTTACTAAAGTAAAGATATTCAAACCTGAAAAGGAAAATATATAAGTTATTCCATCAATAAATGCCATAAGTTTGTTTATATCTTCATTAGTTTATGAGTTATTAACCATCAAAATGGGTCCAGGACTTTATAAACACCCTGTATTTCTCATTAAATAATTATAAAGAATAATTATTAGAATTATAAAGAATAATCAGTTCTTACTTCGCGGGAAGGCAAAATTATATAAAAACTCACGACATCTTCATTAAAAATTGCAAAATACAGGAAAGCATAAACATCAAATACAGTTAAAAAGAGTTAACAAACTTTTTTACAGTTAAAATTAGAGTTTCTACTCAAAAACAAGCAATTTAGTCAGCGGCCAGGAAAACAATTTTTCGGGGCACAAAACTCAAAGTTTACTTTGGGTTCCACTCGACGAAAAGACACTGAAGTTGGTGCAAAAACTGACTGAATTTTCTATTCTACTAAGAATTTCAAACGTGAACAAATGGCGGCTTTGTTAGGCTTAGTACCACTTAAACAACATTAAATTGTTAATAATTCAACAACTATTACATGAAAAATAACTAAAGACATAAAAAGCTTAACCGGGACATAAGAAGAACATAATTCCATCACTTTTAAAGCAAAAAAAAAAAAAAAAAAAAAAAAAAAAAAAATGCACAATTTACCAAAATATAAGAATAAAAATACTGAGCTCCTAAAGACGAGTAACAGAGTAGGTATACTATTATAGGTATACTTTTGGTGCAGCCGATTGCAACCAAAAAGAGAGGTACACAACTACGTGCTATAGCAGTCTCATGTACAAAAAATCTCATATACTCGAAATTCTTCGCCATTCCAATACTTCCCTTATTTCACATAAGGAAGTAAAATTGTTTGTGTTGCCATATTTGCGCAAAAATCGGTTAACATTTTTTAAGCTAATTGATTTTTCAATATAATAAAGCCTGCATACTATTATTTAACTTATTTGTATTGCTAAATTGTAGTACTTTACTAATCAAAGAAAATTCCATACCGTAGAGCAGCGGTTCTCAACCGGTGGTACGCATAGTTGTTTAGTGGTAGTAGTACCACCGGTACCCGTAGTGGTACGCGTACCACTGGTGGCACGCAAGAGAAATATAAGTGGTAAGCAAAACAATGTATGTTTAACTATTAAATTAAAAAATCTTGGGAAGAAAAAGAAAAATTGATGCAAATTTCCTGTGATCAAACTCTAACTGAAAATTTCAAAAATAACACACCCGTTAACTTTTGGCTGAACTAAAAAAAAAAAAAAAAAAAAAAAAGGAATTTAAAGGCGTTTCAAATAAAACTGTTAAATTTTTATTGCCTTTTTGGGCAACCTGTTTGTGTGAATAAGTATTAACTTCCACGTTTTTTATTTGAAAAAGAAATACAGAACAAAATAAAAATTAAATCCTTATTTATTGTTAAAATAAGGCCAGACATAAAGAAACTGATCTCTCTTAAACTGGGGCCAAGTTTCTCACTAAATTTTAGAATTAAAGTATTATAACCTAAATTTTGATAATTAAAATGGTAACCAGTTTTTAATCTAATATATTTTATGTGTGTACATTTAATACAAATAGCCTATAGGTTGTGCAAATGGCAATATATATATATGGTGATATTTGCAGTAGATGGGCATTGGCTTAGCAATCTGGTCATATCAGAGTCCGGTTGCAGTCTGTAACAGCTTTAAATATTATTATAATCTTGTAGTTTAAAATAAATACTTTAATTAGATGAACATTAAGGTATATGCGAATGGCAATGTTTGAAACCAGGTTCGAGTGCCACGTGCGACTCTCGCACGAAGAATGTATTTTATTTTAAAATGTGAGAATTCGTTTTTTTTCTTCTTGTTTTGTATGTCACCATTTTGAGTGCTAAATAAAGTTTTTCTGTGTTTCTTCAATGGAGTTACTTCATATTGCCAAAGAAGTATCACAAGTCATTGCGAAGTGGAACGCAGCCAAATTGAAGAAACAGCAGAATTTCACTTTTAAAAACTCCATATCTTTATTCACTTAAAATGCCAAATCACTATTCTTTTAGATTCTCTAAAATTACACATCCAATAATGATTTAAATTAAAAATAAGGTTAAATTTAAGCTTTCGACGTCATAACTATTCTAACAAAGGAAAGAAGAAGGGACAGAGCAGCGCAAGGTCTTATAGCAGCCATGGTAGGCAGCTGTCTCACTAAAAATGGCGCGAACTCTGCATTTATAGTAGCGATTACATAACATGCCAGAATGTTCTCGAAAGTACTGGTCTATGGGGGTAAGATCCTGAAATTACGGAAAGTTAGAGGTTGCCTATTCGCGTAGAGCAAAGCCATCGTATTTTTTATATTTTACATATATTTTTTATATTAAGAAACTGAAAAATAATCATTGTAAAATGTAACGGTGGTACTTAAGTTTTTCAGTTCTTGTTTAGATCATACGCGTTAGTCAAAACGTTGAGAACCGCTGCCGTAGAGGATTAATTTTACGGTATCAGATATCGACTTTTCATATCCTTTTATTAAATTTTTATGATCAGCGTTAGGAGAAGTATGAAATGGATTTCATTTTGATTAATCTATTTTTCGAATTATGTTGCAAAAGTAACTAAGCAAATTTAATCAATCTCGATTTAGCAAATGTTTTTATTTATTCACCTGGAATCTTATAAAACCAATAAAAACTTCCCTACAATTAAAAAAAAAAAAAAAAAAAAAAAAAAAAAAAAAAAAAAAAATTAAAAATGCGGCTCCATCGTTTGATGAAAAGCTGTCAAACTCTTCGCATTGTGATTTTCTTTTTTCTCAAGTGGCAACAGTTAAAGAGTTTGGAATGAAGAAAAAATATTAGAATTTGTTTTCAAGAGAAGAATCTCGTTATCATTTGTTTTACTCCTGTTCTCTCGTTAATAAATTTATTTAAAAGGGTTTATTCTCTACAATATACTGTTAATACATTTGTCCCTTTTTTCTGTCTGAGATATAAGAGAAGAAAAAATTAGAAAATCCAAGTAAGAAATTTAGCATTTTATAATAGATATCATGTTTAAAATTAAATTAAGCTTATTGCTGAATTTAATGATAATCCTGATTTAACGATAATATGCAAGAGAATTTTGGCAATCGTTGAATCCATGTTTGACTTCATAACAACAAAATGAAGTTAGTATATATCTAATGAAAGTCTTATAATATTTAACACTATAATGAAAACTTACATTTTATTTAAATTTTGTTTTTAATACATCGTAAAAAAAGTAGTTTTTAATAATTTTTTGTATAAAATTAATATTTTAAGTTTGTTTCTTATTGTGAGAATTCAGATAAAAATGATTTAGCTTATCGTCACATAAAATATTCTTTTACCTCAAACAAATAGTTAATGATTGAAGAAATCAAAATATAATAACTGTTTAAGTTAGTAAGTAAATTATAGCAATTATACCGTCATATAATCTCTTCTATAACTGATTAAATATTTCTGACAAACAATTTTTACCTACTTTGATTTTGACAATTTCATGCTGTTTCCTGACAAATTATGATACCTACTTTTGCTGTCAATGTGAATTTTAATTTATTTTACGGAGGTGACAGGTTTATATCAAGAGAACTTTAAATGAATGCTATTTATTGATAACAATAATTTAAAAAAATTACCATGAAATAATAGGAATCCAACCAAAAAATGGCAGTTTCTTCGTCCTGTAAGGAAAAAGAAAAAAAAAACTTAGTTTCAAACTAACGTTGTGAACTTGATAAAACATTTCAAATCTGTTATTTTATTTGAACATATACACTACGTTTATAATCATGAAACAATTGAATTCTATTTTTAGACAGATTATGATGCATCATTACAATAAAAATATTTTCTTTATTTCATTTATATATATATCTGGCAGATGGAAAAAAGGAAGATTCAGGATAGAAACAATTTCTTTGAAAACGAAGTTAATGTAACATCTGAGAGGACGAGCAGTAGGTCATAGTTTCTTAAAATTGTCCACCTTTTCTATTAAAATAACAGATTATTTCAAAATTTCCAAACTTAATACAGTTTCTGAATCGAATGTTTTAAAATAATTCTCCAAAGAGAAATATAGTTAGGATAAAATTAAAATTTCTCAGGTTTTTATGAATATCCATTCTTATTACAGTTTGATATAAATAATCTCTAATGTATGTTTAATATTAGTTTTAAATTAAGAAGCTTGATTTTAGCAACCAGTTATGGTCTCCTTTTTCAATAATTCTAAATCAGCTGCTATGATTTATCAAATCATAACTTTTAAAAAACATTTTCTTCATTTATGAAAAATTCCACAACAATAACGGTATTTTAATGCGTTGCATAAAATAATAATCTGAATAAAATAAGTTAATATTTTTTCCAGAATCTAAATGGCAACGCACTATTTATTACTAAAGCTGGTGATGCTATCGGATATAATAAACTAATGCTTATTAGATTGAATGATGGAAAAGCACTTTAGTAGATCCAGCGATTATTAAATTATCAATTGTTTATTTTTAAAATTATGAATTATTAAAAAAAATTCTTTATTTAATCTGCTAGAAATGTTACGCAATATTCTTTCTGTGGGCATCTTACGCAGTAGATCTATTGGTAAGATTAATATAATGATACCAATAAATTTGTATGTGGGTTTTTAAAAACTATAAAACAAATTTGTGATCAAAATATGAACAGATAAATTATATTAATTAATATTTCAGAATATATGAAAATTATTGAAAACGTTAAACATTTAATAACTGATAAGACAGTTTGTTCTCATCTTATTTTACTATAAATGCACTATAAACACTTCTCTAAGATGACCATCTATATTTCAGGATGATTTTAGTTTCCTTTGGAGGTGACCATACCAGAAATATGGTATTAAATACAAGGAAATTTTTTATGTCGTCAGCAATACTGATAATTCTCAAATGTAGTCTCTCGTATGAGGAAGGGATTTGCCATGAGAGGGTTCACAATTTATCAAGATAATAAAGCTCCGAATGCTTTAGTGATATGAACTAAAATTTAAAAAATTCTTACTTTTACATGTTGGAAGCTAAATCATCACCACTGTCTTTAGACATAAAATAAGTTGAATGATACTTTTTTTGTGGAGGCTTTCTAATTAGGAAAATCATAGGATCAGTAAATCCTTTTATCCCAACATGTTGCAGAAGCACAAGAATAAATATGCTTCATGAAAACATTTTGTATATGGTGACAGAGCATGAGTAGAATTTAATTTAATATTTATAGAAAGATTAAAAAATTCTACATGAAAATATTTTGAATGAACTTTTCAATATTTAACTATTCTAAAAGATGTGTAGAGACATTAGGATTTTTCATTTTTTGGAAGCAGAAAAGACGAAAAATGATCAATCACCTTCGCCGGGAATCGAACCACGGACCTCTGGAATACCGGCCTAGCGTGCAGACCACTACACCACGAGGGCAAGCGGGAGAAATATCTTATATACTCCCCCTTTTTAAAGGGCGACTGGGGATTTTAGGGGACCCAATCGCCAAATCCTGGGTGCGGAGAATCGTCATCCAACACCCTTTTAGTTTGGGCGCCACTGTAGAGACATTAGGTATTTTTTGGAAGCAAGAGAGATGAGAAATTAGCAACCGCCTTCGCCGTGAATCGAACCACTGACCTCTGAAATACCGGCCCAGCGTGCAGAACCTCTACACCCCGAAAGCACGCTAGGAAAGCGGGAAAAATACCTTATAGATGACAGTTAAAAATTATTTTTATGTTTCATAATTTTAAGTACGAGTTGACGACCGATCAAAACATGCAACAGCAGATAAACAGATTGAATTGCAGCTTGGCTAACATTAAATAACTAATAACATTAATCATTAAAAAACCCTCTTCTTACAAGTACATTTACCCTATTTTTTCAAATTAAAGCGCAAGCTACCCACACAGCTATCGACAGTTAAAGAATTCTGATATTCAAATGAAAAATTAAACCTGTTCTTCAAAATTAAAAAAAAAAATGAAGTATTTTTAAATATTTATACTTGCTTTATAATTATTATTTAGCATTAAAAACAAATCGTTAAGGAGCTTACTAATTTCAGGATCTGCCGAGGTATAAATCTTGATTCCACTTCTGTAGTATTTGATCCGTTGAAAGTAGGTCTAACCGTTCTGTCATAATTTTTCAGGATTTTATCCTTTACGGCTTTTATTTGATCCATAATCTCGGGACTATCACAGGATGCATCATTAAGTAATACTGAAAAACAGTTAAAAATATTTATAGAAATTAGAAATTATTAAATTATTAAATTGGAAAATTGTGGGCTTACTCTCATACATGGACTTTTATGCTCCTCGCAGATGACGTATTCCGAGCGCAGTGCCACTAATTTGCATATTGCAGTTTTACTCAGCTACTCTCACTTGGCAACATATTCAAATTTTACACGGTTTGGCTTATTTTTGAGGGAGTTATCGCTATTTTTGTAATTTTTCCTTAATTTATGATAACCAGTGTATGATATCCAAAAACAACTCACTTCATTTTTACTTCCTTGTACGAAGCAAAGGAAATATTGTATTCTCGGTGAATTTCGGGTATCTGATTTCAAAGAAAATATCTGTTTTGACTGTTGTCTAATGCAATTTAACGGTGTTTTTTGCGTGTCATCTGCACGTAAGAACACAATAAAGCACTTTTTTCCCCAAAACGGATTACAAAATTGATACAGAAGAGATGTTTTCTGGACGTTTGTACGCATGTACTTATGTATGTATTTATCTCGGATAACTCAGAAACGAATAGACTCAAAACGATGAAATTTCGTATATAGGACTGCTAAAACATGTAGTTGTGCACCTCCCGTTTTGGTTCAAATCGGCTGCACCAAAAGTATATATATATCCACTCTGTTATTCGTCTCGGTGAGCTTACTTTTTATTTCCTTGTACAAAGTAAAGGAAATATTGTAATCATGAAAAATTCCGAGTATCATATTTCAACGAAAATATCCTTTTTTACCGCCTATCGAATGCAATTTAGCGATGTTTTCGTGACATCTATACGTAAGCATAGGTGGAAGGAACGTAAACCCCAAACGAATTATAAAACTTATTTAAAATTGATACAGAAGCGATTTTTTTCGTGGCGTCTGTACTTATGTATGTATGTACTTATATTTGCATGTAAATTGCGCATCTTTTGCTTTAAAAATGATTGAATTATGTTCTTCTTAGCTTCCGGTTAAGGTTTTTATGCCTTTAGTTAATGTGCATACGATAGTTGTAGAATTATCAACAATTTATAAATTATTCAAGTGCTGCTAAGCCTAATTTTTCTTACTATAGCATTACCTACGTATTTACATTTGAAATTTAGTAGAACAGTGAATTAGTCTTTTCTGCACCTTTAGTGTCGTTTTGCCGAGTGGGACCAAAAGGAAATTGTTAGTTTTGTGCACCGAAAATTCTGCCTTTTTCCTGCTGACCGAATTATTTATTTTTGCGCAGACACTCTAATTTTATTTGTAATTTTTTTAAAAAATTGTTTTAACTGTATTTGGTGTTTATGTATTTGGTGTTCAGCTTTCAAGTTTCAATGAAGGTATTTTGAGTTTTTATGTATTTTTGCCTTGCCGCAAAGTGAGAACTGAATTAATTGAATGAGATGCATATCTCCAATGAAATAAGCTTAAATGAAATGCAGCAAAAAATGCGTATAATTGAATATTCCGTACAAGCAAGTCATGTGGTGTACACATCAGATATTTTACTTCCTTGTACGAAGTAAAGGAAGTATTGAAATCGCGAAAACGTTCGGGTATCATATTTCAACGAAAATATCCATTTTGACAGCTATCCAATGGGATTTAACGATGTTTTTGCATGACATCTGCACGTAAGAGGAGAATAAACGACTCTTTTCCCAAAACGGGTTACAAATAGGATTTAAAATGGATCCAGAAGAGATTTTTTTCGTGATGTCTATACGTAAGTATATATGTATGCATGTATCTCGCAAAACTCAAAACGATTAGTCTCAGAACGTTGCAATTTTGTATGTAGGACTGCTATAACATGTAGATGTTCACCTCCCGTTTAGGGGGCAATCGGTTGCACCGAAGGTATATATATATATATATATATATATATCTTCCGTTTAAGGTTTTTATTGCCTTCAGTTAATCTGCATGCAATAGTTTAAATTTAACAACAATTAAAAAGTTGTTTAAGTGCGGCTAAGCGTAATTTTTGTTTACTATAGCAACCATATATGTTTACATTTGAAACTTAGCAAAATAATGAATTAAGTCAGTTTCTGCACCTTCAGAGTGTTTTTGTCGAATGGGATCCAAAAGTAAACTTTCAGTTTTGTGCATCAAAAAATATGCCTTTTTGCACATTGACCGATTTGCTTATTTTTGCGAAGAAACTGTAATTTTAATTGCAAAGCTTGTTTTTTTAATTGTTTTAATTATACTTTTCAATATTTAATAAAGATATTTTGATGTTTTAAGTGTTTTCGCTATGCCGCGAAAGGAGAACTGAATTAACTGAATGAGAAATCTGGAATTTGAGGAAATAATTTTAAATGAAATGCATAAAAAATGCGTATAATTTAACATCCCCTACAAGTCATGTGGTGTACACATCAGATTTTTTTATTTAAAACATAAGAATTTCTGTTGCCAGCGTTCTGAAAATTTAAGATTAAGATATAATGTAAATAATGGCAGTAAATTAATATATTGTAAATAATGATAGTAAATTAATATATTGTAAATAGTGGCAGTAAATTAATGCGTTTTGCGTAATTTATTACTCTCTCTAGAAAACCATACTATTTATAACATAATGCATTTAAGTATTGCGATAAATGTAGTTTATAAAGTTTGAAAGACTGAGTAATTTGGGAATGATAACTTGTAGAGATATTAAGTTATTTCGAAACAGGAGAGATGAAAACTGAGCAACAGCTTCACCGGAAATCAAACCACGAACCTCTGGAATGCACGCCCAGCGTGTTCAGCACTACACTACGAAGGCATGTTAAGAAGGCGGGAGAAATACCTTATATACTCCCCCTTTTAAAGGGCGACTGGGTTTAGGCGACCCAATCGCCAAATCCTGGCTACGGAGATTCATCATCCACCAACCTTTTTACTTCCTTGTACGAAGTAAAAAGGAAGTATTGTAATCGCGAAAAGTTTCAGGCAGCATATTTCAACGAAAATATCCATTTTGACCGCTGTCGAATGCAATTTAACGATGTTTTTGCGTGATATCTGTACGTAGGACAAAAAGCTCTTTCTCAAAAAAATTAAACGCTTTAAAGATTCGAAAATTTTCGTGCTTGTAATACGTATCCCATAATCAAACGAGAGCTCAAACGTGAATTTGTATATAGGTGCTATAAATTAGTCCCGTATTTGGTTCATCGGAAGCCAACATAATAATGTACGAATTTGGTATTTAAAAAGCTAATGTTAGTTCAATTATAAATCAAATGGTTTTATTTCTCGCGCAGTGCAGCGCGTGACGAATATTAAAAGAAAGCTAAGCCGGAAAATTGAAAATACAAGAGCGCGTGCATTAAATAAATAAATATCTCTTTTTGATTTCGAGAAAGTACTGGAAAATTCTAGCGCGTGATTTTAAAATCTTATAAAAGGAGGAAAAACATCTCAGTTTGTAGTAGTTGCTTAGTTTGTTGTTGTTTAGAAAACTGCTGTTGTTGATTGTAGCGAATTCGCGGATTAGCGTTCTTTAGCTGTTTTGAATTACGTTCTATTGGACATTTGAGTAGTTAAAAGATAAACTACTGTGAGATATTGTAATACTGCATGATAATTTGAGAAAATTTAAGCATTTTTGTTGTGATAATAATAAATTTTTGTTCATTTTTCATCGGACTTGTGCATTCATTTCATAACGAACCCGTACGCACGCAACAATTTTTGGTGTCAGAAGTGGGATTTGAATGCCAATAACAAGAGCGATGGAAGAACAATTGAGACAGCTCATTAGTGCTTTGCTGCATTTCCAAGAAAAGATGGAAGCTGGCCAAGCATCATTTAAGGAAGAGAAATGAAATTGGGCCAGGAATCCGTTAAGGAAGAGAAAGAAATGAAATTGGGCCAGGAATCCGTTAAGGACGAAATGAAAGCCGTTCAAGCTGGTCAAGAAGAAATGAAAAGAGAAATTACCTGCATAATAGAAAATAAATTTGAAGCTATGGAAGGCAGAATTGACGCAGTTGAAAATAAAGTTGGACATAATTGAAGAAAGAGTTTTCTTCGGTGAAAGAAGAAGAAATAGAAGAAAGAGTTTCTTCTGTAAAAGAACAAATTGATGAGAGAGTTTCTGCAGTTGCCAAAGAAATGGATACTTTAAAGAAATTCGTAGCGACGGCAGGGAGCAGGAGAGTGATGATTTTTAAATTCTTACCGATGCCTGCTCGTCCACCTCTGAAGTTATCCACATATGATGGAAAGACCTCCTGGCAGGTGTGTAAGACAAAATTTTCTATCGTGGCGGATGCGAATGGATGGGATTCCCAAGCTAAGGCCTGTCATCTCGCCGCTTCATTAAGAGCCGACGCAGGGGATATCCTTCAGACTCTTCCCGAAAACAAAAGGTTAGATTTCGAAGCTCTGTCCGGCGCCTTGGAGCTGCGCTTTGGGGAGAAGTGTTTAAAAGACTACAGCAGGCTCTAATTAAAATCCCGTCAGCAGAAGCCCACCGAAACACTTCAGGAGCTCTCCACGGATGTTGAAAGGCTGTCCCATCCTCGCCTTTTCGGAGTGCCCGACAGAAACAAGGGAAATCCTGTCCTTGCAATATTTCATCGACGGCATCCGGGATACCTGAAATACAGAAAGCTCTGCGAATGGCGGATGTAAAAGGATTTAAAAAGCGCTCTGTTGTACGCCATGAAGTTCGAGGCAGCCCAGCAAGCAACTCTTAGAGATCGCTACCCAGTCAGAGCTGTGCGAGTCCACGACCCAGGGGACCAATTGATGGCTCGTTTAGATGATTTATCCAGACAAGTCGATGCTTTGATACGGAGTAGCAGTGAGAACAAAGTGGCTGTAAGATGTTGGAGATGTGGTTCTGAAGGTCACCTACGACGGCATTGCAGAACACCCCAGGGCACGGATAATGAAACGGATGAGTTGACAAGACCAGTGAATGCTTTAAGACGGAATAGTGGTGAAACAAAACCGACCCTAAAGTGCTGGAATTGCGGTGTTGAAG